TTTTTTTTTTTTTTTATTTCACTTGGTGTGTGTTAATAAAGCATTTTCGAACTTTTTGTTACGTGACATTTCAATAATTATGTACAGGACAATCTGTACTAAAAGAGATGTATATTTATATGTAACACATTCATTATCGATAACCTGTGAATAATTACACGTCGTAGGCTTGCAATTTACATTTAACTTTTATTATTTATCGCGCATAAACAAATCTTAACAAAAAAATATATGTAAAATGTGTTACTTGAAAATTTGAATAATTAATAATTGCAAACTGTAATAATTAGTAATCAAGCTCATTTTTATGCAACTTCAGATTTTTGATATAATTAAAAAAAAATAGAAGCTCGTTTACACTTTTCTATAAATGCATAAAATTTCCGAGTGCAGTCTAGTAATATTTAAAAAAATATGAAAAACAGGAAGATATAAGAAGAAGGAAAATAATTAAAATTGATGACAAGTGTAGAAAATGTATAGAAAAATACATAAAAAATACTTTGAAATTCCTTAGTTTTTATTATTAATAATAGAAACGTTTAAAATAATATATTACAATATTTGTAAATTGTTTTCCAGACTGGTACTTACATAAATCTAATTTATACATTATACTTTTAAACAGTGGCATTGATTACTTCAATTACATGTATTCTGTAAATTAATAGTGAACTTATGTTACCAAAAATTATATTTAGAGAACTAGCGAGTAACTTCATCAGTTAAAAGAAATAATTCTCATTTTCATTTGACGCAAGTGCATTTCCTTGAATAATGTTATACTATGATATTATTCAATGAATAATATTAATAATATTAAATAATATTAAAATAATATTAAATGAGATATAATTATGAATAATATTATATCTCATTTAAAATAGATTATTTTATATTTAAAATAGATCATATTATACAATGTTTTTGTTGGCACATATATCATCTGGATATATACATGTGTTTTGTGTTCTTTACATTTAAATGTTATAGGTAATTTGTCTATAAATATTTGTTTAACTGATGTTGTTTATTATTTGCAGGATACGAAAACGCTGATTGGTTCATTCCTTCACCGGCCCTAAAATCAGTTGACACTGACTTAAAATTGTCACCGGACCAAATCCGGGAGACTCTCAATTATTTCAGTAAGTTATTCTTTATATCAGTCTTCTCTTAGTATTTCTTATATTCCAGCTTTTTCCGCATTAAACATGGCCTTATATATATATGTATATATATATATTACATATATATATATATTACATCATATATATATATATATTACATCATATTCTTATATGGCGGTTGGTAACATTAAATGTTATGAATCTTGATTTATTAAAGAAATGGTAATTTTACAAATAATATAATAAGGGAAGGAATCAGTGTTTTAATGGGTTGTTTAATAAAAAATAGCAAATTTTCTTCGCTATTCTTTCAAAGATCTCGTGCAGAAATTTACAGTCAAAAGACTACGCCCCAATTCTTAATTTTCCAATATTGGAATTTTCGCACAGAAGATTGTGAATTGTTTATCGTCTTAAATCATACTTATAATCAATTTTTTTTTTTATCGATAAGCCAATAACTTCAACGATAAAATTCTACTTTTATCGTTTTTTTGTTACCACTCGTTTGCGATAATATTTTTAGAACATTGATATTACTCATTCATTTATTTCTTTGAATATTTTATTTTCATGTTCCGCTATTTTTTATTTTATTTGTAAACACCTGTCCAAATTCACTGAATTACTATTTCATATGTTTATGAGTAAAAGTATGTATATTGTTCAGGTCTTTTCTCTACTTATTTTTAGCTTTTTAGATTCTTTGGTACCTTACTTCATTCCTAAAATAAAACTTCGTTTGAGCATTTTCCACTTCACTGAGATTTTTTTTTTTTCAAATATATATGGTCTTTTGATTGAAAACAATCAATGTATTGAATAAGTCACATGCAAAAGGTATTTTTATGTTACTCTCAAATGTTGCAGAACAACTGTGATCACAAGTATTTTAAAAAAAGTAATAATTTATTGTAAGAAAGAAACATTCGTTTCTAAGGTTATATATACGGTTTTATCAGTAAATTTATATCCAACTAATAAATCAATATTTTTTATTATATCAATTCTTATAATCTGTATACATTCGTTACGAAAATCCGAATATCTTCATTTAGGTATTAGTTTTTTTGTCTTGCAATGTAGGATTTGAATAAAACATCCATTTTACTTTTGCAACGAAAGTACTTGAATTAGATACTCGAAAATACGTTCTTTTAAGTATTTAAAGTTTTACGACTCGATTATACGACTCGATAATAACAAGACACATGCAATTAGGCGCTCATTTGTTGAGTAGCCAATCGTAAGAGCCAGAAGGATTCTTAGCCAATCAGAGCGCTCGACCCAGCAGTGCTTTGCTGGAACATCCATAGTAGTGTGGTTTAGTCGCCGCTCGTCCTACGCGTTGGACGGGTGATGTGCGTCTATGTCATTATATTGTGTATAAAAAGAATTTTCCTAATCTTTCGGTAAACGAACTAACTTACCTTCTTTAATGCAGTGTTTATCGAAGGAAAGTGAACTAGTTCCTAAGAAGTGGCAATCGTAAGTGAGGATTATGTGGTGATATTTTATTTCGTGTTCTTCGTATTACACGAAATCTACTGCATTAATTTTTTTTTGCTCACATCGTTACGATGTACGTATATAACATTTTACATAATGTTATACATAAATTTCCGTTGAAACGAATCGTAGATACTTTTCGTAAATCAATGCCGACAGCGAAAATTCGACGCTCTGCTTATTTATAAATTTTTGCCCGATTGGAAACTCGGGATTAAAGTTTCTTTCGGCGTTTTATTACACATTTCATATGCCATTTCGATGATAACGTGACGCCAAGTTTTAATAATATTTTAATTATAATGCAGCTTTTTATTTTAAGCATAATGCGGTACATGTTATAGGTAATGTTCTTCCACTATTAAATTCGATAATACTATCGAACACAAAAATAAAAAGATTTGATTAATTTTACATTTTCATAATGAAAAGATTTGTCACAAGATTCTTAATTACAATTGTAGTATTACATTTGAATAATAAATTAATAAAACTGCAAAATATTTCTCCAATTTAAGTCGGCGATATATATTAGCGATATATTTTGATTAGGTTAGGTTAAAGCAACATTTTTAAAGATAATTTTTTTGTTTAATTATTGAGATAAATTAGTTTGAATATATTTGTTAATAAATTCATTAAAATTTTATGAAACACATTGGAAAATTTCATTATAAAAGTTAATTTCACGATAATGCAATTAATGCTTGGAGAAAATTGTACATATTTCTAAGCATGTGTATTCGGATGAAGTTAGGTTAGGTTTTGAAGAGACATATTTTTCTTATACTTTACAACAAAAGTTTAAAAAAATTTGTATAAAATGTGTCTATTTACGAATATTGACAGCCTAGTCAAAATAAGTTAAATTAAATTAAGTTAAAACTTGTTTTAATTGTAATTTAAATAACGTTTGTTAGGTTACACACTACAAAATCTGTAACAAAAATCTGTTCTGTTTTGAATTTTTTACTCTTACATTTTTACTCTTTATACTTTTCGTTATTTAATATTGCAGTTACAAATTTGATCCAATTTTTGCATATCGTTATTATATAACTTTATATAATATAACTTTAACAATCTTTTATCTTTGTAAACGTGTAAACACTGCTGATAACATGGCAGATTTTGATGATTTTCCTTGTTTAAAACTAGACGAGAATTATAAAATTAAACAGAAATATCCAAATTTGTTTTAAATTTACTATTCATTTGTAAATCCTCCAAGCATTAAATTATTATTAGACAACAATAATAGATTGATGTGCTGAGATTATGGTTAAAAATTTGAAAACAAATGGCTGCAACGAAATTGCGGATGATTGTATTTTAAGATTAAAAATAATAAAATTATTGCAAAATAAAATAAGCTCGAACACGGATAGAGAGAATGTTTTCTCAATAATAAGATTAATTGTGCAATCTGTCGGAATATGGTTAGCGAATATGGAGGTCGTTTTCGTGATTTGGTACTTTAAATAGAAATATAACGATTTGTACTAATCAACGGCTATTCTTGCGCTCCGATTGTTTCATGCATTTAAGTATGTTTTTATACAGGAAGTGCAACACGTTTTAATATCAGAAAATGACGTTCTTCCTTTCACGTAAATTACATTCGATAAACACGTGTTACATTTAAAGAGAAAAAATCCTTCCATTTACATTCAGACAATCTAAAACATCAGAGTGAAAAGAACTATAACTCTAAAATGACAGAAGATTGAAAAAAGTTCGGCAATCCGATCACAATGCAGATTAAACTAGATAACAATTAAACAAGTTATTAGATTTGAAACAAGTCCTGAAATATGAGTCACCGAATGTTGTTGAGTTGCTAAGTTGAGCTGCATTTTTTTTCCATTTCCCTGTATTTATAGGTTAGTACAATAAATTATATATAGATATAAACTAATCGCGTAATGAGTTTATAATATAAATATGCTCATAGGTAAACCATCGAAATCTAAGCGGCAAGCAGATTGTTTCAAAGGAAAAATGTTACAAGTTTTTTTCATGAATACCTCGAAAATTAAAACTGAAAAAAGATTATATGTACATATGTACAGGAAAAATCACCGAAATGAGCCATGCTTTAATCTATACAATTAGCATACTTCTTTTTATACAGAATTAAAAAATATTTAGTAAAAAAAATATATTAAAGTTAGTGCACAAAAATGTCTATAGTTTCATTTTAATAAATAAAAGTAAAATCTAAGTAAAATGCAATTCCATGCAGGTATGTCAAATTATACATTATTTGAAACCGTATAATTAGAATTCCTTTTTATCATCTATTGGTATCAGTGCTATCGTTCCATTTGCAAAAGAGTATACAGTAAAAGTTTCTTAGAATTATATTATTTAAAACTTAATAAGTACACTTTGTTTTACATTCGTTAAATAAAATTCAACGTCTCTTTTTTTTTTTCTTTGCAAATCTATGTAAATCGAAGTGAAGTAACTAATTGATTCATAGTTCGATATCACGACTTGAAAAAAAAAGGAATTTCTCAAGTTCCACATTCGGTTTTCTCAGAGAATTATGTAACGATCGTTAGACGATCAAATAAGCTTCCCTTATTGAAAGAAAAACCGCGAAATTCTTTAGGCGCATTTTCTCTCATATAGTTCAACGCTTTCTCATAGAAATAACCAGCGAATTAAGTGGCAGCCAGAAGCAAATGCTATATATAATGGTTTATTGTTTTCGAAACTACGTATCGCAGCTCTTTCACACCGATTTATTACTCCCAATTTAATTTAATGCCTACAGTTTAATCAGCGTGCACGAATATTCCGCATTATAACACTCGATTTTCACTCGTTCTTAGAATTACAAAATATATAAGAAACGTCGTATATTCATGGAATATTTACGTTTTAATAATTATTGATATATTCATACCGTCGATGATTATTGTCTGAAACTGTAGTGTTATATTCTTTAATTAATTTAATTTGTTATTTGTTCGTATAATAATCACAGATAAAGGTCACATTGAACTGTTCTGTTTCAGATTCCGATTCTTTTATTCTTGTGAAAGAAATTCCCAGAAATATGTTTGCTTCAACAAAAATCTTCATTTAACATGTTAACTTCGTAATGATAGTTTGCAACAGTTTGTATGTATGTAGACTAAATTTCAATCTACATCCTTTCTATCAGTGTGAGATGAAAAATTGTCTAAATGTATATTTCAAAGTGCACCTTTATTGATTATATAGTTTAGTTTATTGACATTAATATATTTTAATCTAATACTGCTAAATGTTTTGATATATCATACATATCAATCATCAATCAATGTACAAAATACATGTAATATGCAGATACATATATATGCATATATTACAAATACGTACATACAATATTTAATAGGAAAAACGAATCTTTTCTCTTATATTGTGTGTGTGTGTGTGTGTGGTGTGTGTGTGTATCATATTATATATATAAAATATGATATATATATATATCATTATATCTTTTATATATATAAAATATGATATATATATATCATTATATCTTTTATATATATAAAATATGATATATCATTATATATTTCATATATAATGTGATATATATAGTATAGTATATGTATATAGTATATATAGTATATATACATAATATATAGTATATGTATATAGTGTATATATAGTATATAGTTCATATATGTATATATAATACATGTATATATATGAATAGTATACATACATATATATACTATACATATATAGTATACATAGTATATATATAGT